GAATCAACGAGTCAATGGTGAGACGTTTGGAGACGCCAGCAGGAAGAATTGTCTCAATTCAATTGTGTTGAAATGTTAATAAATAGGAGCTTCCCAAAAAAGTTGCCTCTTTCCCGACAATCCTCTCTGTGCACGAAGCATATGGTAATTAAACATAAAAAACCTGCGGCTTATAGTCCGAAAATTACGGTACAAACCTTTATTGATATCTTAAATAATTGTTTGTTTGGGAAGCTGATAAAAAGTAGCTAGTTCCATGTTTTCCACAGAAGCATGTGGAAAATTAAAGCTAACCGCAAGGCTAACAGGAATAATAATTAGGTCTTCCCTTTGGCTTTTGAAATGTATTCAAATAATAATTGATAATTGAAATTTATTGATCTCACATTGGAGAAATGTACCTCTGCATTTCACCCATTCCCTTGGGGAGCAGTGGGCTGCCATGTTTAGCGCCTGGGGAGCAATCGGGGGTTAAAGGTTTTGCTCAGGAACCCAGAGTTGAGAAAGTGTGATTCCAACCAGGTACTTGCAGCCTTCTCAGAGCAAAAGCACACTGTTCTAATCACTAGGCCATTATTCCCCTTAAGGAGCTATAAGAAGGAAGCGAGCGTTAAGCTGTTGTTCAAACTGATCTAGGGGGGTTTTATCTCAGAGGTACCCTCAACCCTGCAAGTTTCCATGGATACAGAGGAAGAAGGCCCCCTGGATTTAAAATCTTAAAAACCAAGGGGTTTATGTGGGGACTGGTTCTTTCTCAGTTCAATAAAGAAAACAATTTAGAGAGAAACCAAAATCCGAAAAAAACAAAAAAAAACAAGAAAAAGGGCAGAGTATTAGGGCCAGGCTAGGGATTTCTATATCTTTTTTAGTTGTAATATTACGAGAGTTGAGTCATCATACCATAACCCATTTCAGAGAGGAAGCTTCAAGCATTCGAAGGCCGTCCAGCTCCACCAAACAGTAACCTGAGTCCACTTTGACTTACTGGCCAATTTGATGCTGGTGTGATAAAAGATTTCCTTATTTGTGAAACCAGAGCCAAAGTACAACTTCACATGATGCTCCACATTCCCTCTCGTAAGAGCTGCCATAAAATACAACTTAATTCTCATAATATTACGATTTTATTCTCGTAATTTTCTGACTTTATTCTCATAATGTTACAACTTTATTCTCGAAATAGAAAAAGAAAATCTCTAACCTGGCCCTAATACCCCGTTTTAACGTTATACATGCATATTAAATGTATAAGAGAAAAAACATTGAACTCTATACAGCTCAAAGGTATAGTGGAGGATTTCTGCAATTTTTTTTAAAAGACCAGCCCTCTCCAGTTAAGAAAAAAAAAGCACATGCACAACCCTGTACCCGCTCCTAAAAGGGAACCCCTATCAAACTCATAGGATTGTGTGCATGAGAGTTTTCGTGCACGCTCTGTTTAAACGTTGCTGTTTGCATTCCTCATAAAGCTTACTTTCCAAAAGATTTGCAAATGTTACACTATGTAAGTGAAAATGGGGACGAGCACGTAGGACGGCCTTACGTAAACATATCACTAGAATGATTGACGATTAGGAGGACAACTTATTTAGATGATCCACCCAGAAAAAGAACATCCTCCATTTAAATATCAAAATCTCACAAATTTAATATAACTTACACAATAACCAATTTGTGTGTAATCAACTTCATACCCTGAGAAATGATTATTAATGAGCTTTACTCCTCCATGGCTATTTGTTTATCTTTATGGCTCCCCATTGTAGATCTGTGCATCTAGAATGACCTGCTGAGGCCTTTCCAGGGATATAAACAGTCGAAATAATTGTTTTGTTTCAGTTTTTCCTTTCTTATTACCATAAAAGCAGTCAATAAGCTGCCATTATGTTGTGCTAGCTGGTGGCTAACTGTCCCAGAGTGATAACTGCCCTCCTTTATTGGGGGTTGAGTAAAGAAACAATCCAACATTGATGAATGAACCAATGCCCCACAGTGTGCTCGTAATGTCAGAGCGTTTTAAAGGGTCTCAGGGAACCTCTGAACAGAACCGTCTCTGTGAACGGACTCGTGTGTAGAGTTGGTGAAGAGAAACTTTGTGATTATGTAGGACAGTAGGAGACTGAGGCGATCATGAGGGCAAGAGAGGAGTTCTTACCTCCAGTGCCAGCGCCGTCTTGTCGTAGGCGTTGGGCACCCTTTTCTGAATGGCCCTTGCGTAAACGGGTCCCTGCTGCAGATTGGGGAGCTGGGAGTTCACCACTGGTTGAGCATACGGACCGGGGTCCCCCAGTGGGCTGTCCTGCATGCTCCCCATCCCGTCTGGACCGGCTGAATCCCCTCCGACAACAGGCGGACCCGAGGCTGAGGTTGGCGAGGCGGGCCGGTACTTTTCCACATAGGGAACCGGGATCATCCCAACTCGGCCCTCCTGGTTGGCGGCGCTCCACCACTGATCCTCTGGCTTCTCCAGCACGCGCAGGACGTCTCCCGCTCGAAAGGGCAGGTCTTCCTCATCGTTCCCGGGGAAGTCAAAGAGCGCGCGGACAAACTCCGTCTCTTTTGGCTGTTGGGGGACGCCAGGAGAGGGGGAGGCATTGGACGCACCGCTCTTGGACTTACTAACAGGCTCTATGAGCGTAGTGGTGTCCAGATAGTGGATCTTATAGAACTCTAACAAAGCTGGAAGCGCCTCAAACTCCTGGTCCCCGATCTGAAACCGAGAAGCCGCCAAACCTGAGAGGAAGAGAGAAAAAGGGAAACTTTCAATCCATTGATAGAAAACCAGGAAGAAGCCACTCCTCCTTCTTCTTTACTGTCACTTCAGCACAGCCAACAGTTCTTAGTCAAAAGGCAAAGTTTTAACCTTTACACATTCTAATTTTCAGCTATAAGATCATGAGCAGCTATCCGGTGATGCCAATGCCAGCGAGGCAACTAAATCTGCTCCGATCGGCTGAAGCCACATCTACCAACAAACACTTTTAGATGGATTAGGAAGCGTCTAGCCTCGCCTTAGGAAGGCAGCTGGGCTGACATATAGGGGTGTGTGTGTGAGTGTGTGTGTGTGTGTGTGGGGGGGATATCTATATGGAGATATATTGTGACTTTTGGGTGCCCGATATATCTTTCAGTTCTTAGTACTGATTTAAAAAAAAAATTTTACCTATAAAAAATTTGGGAAAATGATCTACCTCTGCACCCCCACTCTTTCAGTACATTTGATTTGATAGTTGGGGAAAAAATATCACAATATATAGTAGGGATGCACGATATAATCGGCCCCCTATCGGTATCGGCCTTAAAACTGAATATCGGACAT